TATATACACACACACACACCCCACCCCACAGCTTCTCTATCCATTCATTTGTTGATGGGCATTTGGAGTGGCAGAATTCTTCCACCAGTTAACCTATAAATGGTTCCTTCAAGTTATAACCAACCTCCAAAATAAAATTTCATGCCTCTGCTAGTAATGTAAAGTCTTCCCTGAGCAGAGAGGTGGGTATTTTGTTAAAGGAAAAGGGCCTAGAAGAATGAGCTCTGATATCTGAAATTCAACCATTATGGCCAGGAAAATTAACCAACTCATTTCAAACACAATATAAATTGTTGCTGTCTGCTTGCCAGCTACTAACAGCGACACCCTGATGGGGGTAAGCACACGGAGATACACCACTCTGGGAGAGGATCAGAGTCAATCCAGCTCGATTTTACTGGGGACTGCAGTGCACTTATATACCAGCAAGTAAACGGAAAGACAGGATAGGGTGGTTTGCCGACATGGGACATGTGGATTGGATAGGAGGACCTCAGCCTCGTGCAGACCACTCCCAGCTCTATAAATGTGGCAGCTGTCTTCTCAGGTGGTGAGCGTTCTCAAGTTGGTACAGCTAAACACAGGAGAGCTTTCTCTACCCCGTATTAAAGGTCGTTGTGGGGCTTGCACTTACCCAGAGCTTAGGCGATCTGTCCTGGCCAGAGACCCTCCCTTCCTCCCCAACATTCCCCAACAATAAATGAGGAATAGTGTGAAACACTATGTATACAAACTTTGTAATCAAACAAATTTAAAAAAAAATTGAGGGGGGAATAGCTTTTACAATAAGATCAAATAACTGTTTTCCAAATTCTCATTTACTCCAAAGTCATGTCTGCTTGCACTTGTATCCACTGAGATTCTGGAAATAAAAGCAGTGATGGTAAGCCTCTCTCGGATGTCATTCTATAGTCACTCCTACCAATCAGGAAGTTTACAGAGATTCCTACAAAGATGCTGATTTGAGTTGGATGTTTCTGCTGAGCCAGGAACACGTAACAGGACAGCAAAGTCCACACCAAGTAAGAGGAGACCTGGGGACTCCAGGCTAAATGGTTCTCTCTCCTTCCTCTGGTAGGAGCTGACCTGGCTGCACCCCTTCCCACAGAAGTCTTCTTGAGGCTGTACAGTGGCCACATATGCACTACCATAAGGGTCTTCCTAGAACAATGAGCCTGAGGGGTGACAGCCAAACAGCTTCTGTTCCCCTTACTGGTTGCCACCCACTTCTCCCTCCTGGTCACACATCTTTAAAATGGTTGCATTGTGTGGTGGGTGGAGGGAGGATGTAAAGGAAATGGGATAGATCCGGTGGGAACTTCAGAAAACAGGGGCATGATGGGCATGGTCCAATGGTGATTGATTTTATAAAACATAAAGCATGGAAATGATCGTCTGGAACACGATATGAATGAAGAATAGTGTGAAACAGAGTTTATATGAACTTTGTAAGAAAACCAGTATAAGATAATTTTTTTTATTTTAATAATTTTAAAGAACATTTACAGAGACTTTAAGATAATTTTTTTTAAAAAATGATTGTGTTGTGAGAGTTCAGGGCACCTTAAGTGTTTCAGTGAGGGGCAAGTGTGTATAGAGTGTTCTCTGTATCTTCATCTGAGCTATCCAGCTTCACTAACCTCAAGTCATCCCCTTACCCCAGCCAACCACCTGTGACCAGAGGAAGATGAGACTGAGAAAGGTCACAAGAGGTACAGCATTCTTCTGTCAATATGCTGTTCTTGAAGTAACCTGGGTTGCTATGATGCTGAACCTTGTGCCACTGGGGTGTCAAATGCCATAACGGTTACCCATGGTGGACAGTGTTTGGTGGAGCTCTCAGTTTAAGACAGGTCTGGAAGCAGGAATGGCATCCACTTTCTAAACATGCCTCTGGAAACTCTATGAACTTTGAGAAACGACAATTGTTATAGAAAGGCTTCAGGTCTTTTGTTCAGAGGGTCGCTATCAGTCATGTGCAATGTGATGGAAATCAACACCACCACCACAAAACAAGGTCACCAGAATACCATTCCCTTTCACAGTGACCGCTGGGTGGGAAAGTTTCCTCTGGAAGAAGAATATGGGGCAAGCAGACCGTATAATTGTGATATCTGGTAAACTCAGTAGAGAAAGACTTTTCTAACACTGAATGAGTCCCAAGTCCAGGTTTCATGTCCCTAAAGACAACTGATCTGAAAGTTGGACAAGTGGTGAATTTTTTCTCACTTGGAGCTCAGAGGCTCCAGGAGTTGGAGTCTCTAAAGTTCATGTTTATTTTCTCTTTAAGTCTATAAGTAAATCACAAAAGAGACTGATCAGGGAGCTCAGCTGATGTTCTTCTTTCTTTCCTCCACATTTGCATGTGTAATTAGCCCACTGTTACATCTCTATTACAAAGCACTGATTTGGTTTCTGATTGATGAGTCTTGATTGCATCCGTACAGGGTGGCCCAAAGGTAAACTCTAGTCAAAATGATCCCCTCTGGCAAGCTTTGCTTCAAAATTGCCTGCACAGCTGTCAAGGAAAAGGATAATTCCAAGGTCATATTAGGGTTGTTAACTGGATAACATTCAAAGCAGTACTTTGAACAAATAATTTCTTGATTAAGCCTCCCTCTGGTTGAAGTTTCTGCGGAGCATGACCAGGGCTGCCCCAACTGCTGCATCCACATCCTGCCCAAAGGACATTGGGAAAGGGAAAGCCTTCTGTACTTCCTGCTTCAGCACCTCGTTCCTGGACAGCGCACTCCCACTCCCAATCACCCGCTCCACGCCCCACTCTCTGAGCTGCTGGGAGGGGAGCATCGATTGCAGGTTCTGGACGATGCCTCGACACAGTGCCCGTGTCACGTGCCCCAGTGAGAGGTCAGAGGAGGAGATTCTGGTCACTGAGGCCAGCTGGTCCGGCAGGTGCCTCTCTCCCAGCACCGTTGGGTTGATGGTTAGACAGGTATCTTCCTGCTGTGCAGCTGCCTGGATCATGTGGGAATACACAGTGGATTCTTCAACTGCCAGGCCTGTCAGATACAGAGAAGAGCAACATGAGCTGGGACAGTACAGAATTGCAAGTGGCAGGATAGGTCTACTTGCTGTTTCTTCTGACTCTGCGGTTAGCTGACTCCAAGCTCAGGAACTCAGAATTTGGCTCAACTATTAACCTAAAGAGTTACTCAACTTGCGATATTCTGTCCCAGGTCCCAGCCAGTTATCTCACAGCAGACTCTGGTGAAGACTTTAGTAAGATATCTCAAAGGAATCCTTGGGTGCTCTATCTTCCCAGGTCTCCTAAGACACTCACAACTATGGGAGCTTTCGTCCCAAGGGGGTCAAATCCATACATTAACCAAGAAGTGTCATCATGACTGTTATTAAATAGATAAACAGTGTCACAGAAATCCCAGGAACATAGGGCTGAGAAAATCTAGAGGGTTACTTTAGCCCACCCTTCATCATATACAGGGAAATCTGAGGTCCAGAGAGCCGTGCATTGGTGACCATCCTATAGGTTGCTTGTGTCATGTCAGGCTCCCAGTCAGCTTTCCCTCTTCACACTGTGTGAGCTCTACATTCTAAAACAGAGTAGGTTTGGTTTCAGCATGCTTTGGCCTTGGAATTGCTTTTGATCTCTAACTAGCCATTTACTAACTAGAAGAAGGCAATCCTGGTCTTCAATAAGAAGAAAATTATCACAACAGGGGAGTCTCCACTAGTGTTGCAGAGTGGAGTCACTAGAGAGGCTTTGAGAAACGTCCTTCCTGGCCCCATCCCCAAAAGAGTCTCATTTAACTGGGCTGGGCTGCAGGGGCTAACCTGCTCACATACTAGCCCAAAGGTTAGTGAACTGGATCCACCCAAAAGCACATTGGAAGAAAGGCGTGGCCATCTACTTCTGAAAGGTCACAGCTCTGAAGGTCCTTTGGAGCAGGTTGCTTGGAGATATAGAGTCATCATGCATAGGAATAGAGTGCACAGTAGCCGGGGTTTGCTACCTGAGCTCTGGAATTTGTAAACATTCCCCAGGTGATTCTGACACACAGCCAAATTGGGAAAGACCTTGCTTCTCAAATTTGAATGAGTGGAAGGGCCTCCTGTAGATCCGGGGGCCTGATTGCACACACCTGGGGCAGGGGCTGCAATTCTGCAGTTGGAATAAGCTCTCACTGGCTGCTGATGCTGCTGGTCCATACTGTCTGAGTAGCAGTGTTCAGGGTTATGGTGGTTACCAGTACTCACAGGCATCAGGATCATCTGAGAAACTAGTATCAAATGTCATGTCTAGGCTCTGCCCGGGGCAACAAGAACCAGCATTTATGAGATGGGACAGGATACCAACATGACTTTAGAACTCTACAGACATGTCAAGAGGGCAGTCATTGTTGAGATACACTCATCCAGAGAGTCACAGGGCAGCGACATCATCACCACAGCTAACTTCACAAATCCAACTGCAGACACTCAAACGCTAGACAAAGGGAGACAGTGTGAGAGAAAGACAGAGACAAAGGACGATCGAAATAACACGAGCACTAACACAGGTAATGACTGGTTTAATATGTCAGAGTGAATATAAATGTCTCTCCCTCTAGACCGTCCACTAAAATATCAGGAAGGGGAGGAAATAGAAACATTGTAGATGAGGGAAAATCCACAAGGACCAAAAGCATAGGAAAATAAATGACGAATGTGAAGGGTTTGGGTTTTGTTTTAAATACTGCTTAGAAGGAAGGGAGGAGATAACAGAATGAAAGCTGACTTTCCCTGGCAGAGAAGAGAAAGCTACAGCCAGGAAGTCTTCAGGAGAAGATTCGATGAGCATTTAGTTAAAGAAACTGCAGTTGTTCAAACTCTGAGAAAGAAAATCCATTGCCCTCGTGTTGGCTCTGATGTGAAGTCACCCCACATAACGTGTTCCACGGGGTTTTCGTGGCTGTGATATTGGCAGAAGCAGAACACCAGGTCTTTTATTGGTGGTACTTGTGGGTAAATTTGAACCACTAACCTTTAGATTAGTAGTTGAGCCATCTCGTTTACACCACCCAGTTACCTTTGAGGAAGGAAACTTGGGAGAAAGTCTTCCTAGGACAACAGTACATTGTCAGGAGGCTACACCTCCCAGGACAGGCGCACTTCGGCCAGGTTGCCTAACCTCTTGGTTTCCCATTGAATTAAGTGAGTTAATAGGTATACAGTTATTAGCAGTGTCTGGTACACAGGAAGCATTCAATACATGTCACCTAACATTAATACTTGGAAGCAGGAGTGGCATCCACTTCCTAAACAACATGCCTCCGGAAACTCTGTGAACTTTGATAAATGTTGATAGTTGTAGAGGGACTTCAGGCCTTTTGTTCATAGGGTCGCAATGAGTTGTGCTCGACTTGAAGGCAATCAACAACAAAAACAGCATTACTACTACAGGAGAAAGATGGGCAATCTCCTCCCAGGTGATTTACTGCCTCTGAAAACTGGCTGGAGAGTCAGTTATGAGTCAGTTCCAACTCGAAGGCACATAACAACATTACTATTAAAGAGTTTTCTAGGGTAGCAGGAGCACAAAGGAGGATGTGAGCAATCTAGGACTTGTGGGTGCCTGAAGGTGACCACACTCTGAACAAAACTGAAGTGCCAGGAACAAGTAGGAAGTGGGGTACATAACATCATTGAGGAAGCCTGGATTCAAAGGATAACATCTGGATATTCTGGCCTTGAGGAAAGGGGGTTGCACAACAAACCCACTTTAGCTCTTCTCCATAATCTCTGGGGCTTATGGCAGCAGCACCAGGATCCCCCTAAGACCTCACCTTATAGATGCGTTTCCCTCCACATCAAACTCTACCTCACTTATTCAACCTGCAGTGGCCTCTTTCTTCAGTCCATCCCTACATTCAGCTCGCCATGGCTGCCTTCTGACTTCCCCACCTCCCCCGGTAACGTCGCAGCCCAGAGTCTCCACCTGACAAAAATGCCATTTCAACTTTACATGGCCTTCGCTTTACATACTGACAGAGCGACTACAAACGACAGTGTCACAGTGTGCTCAGTGAGGTTTTTTTCAGCACTAAAAAAGGAAAGAAGCTAAAAAGACCAAAAGGTGAGCCAACCCCAGTAAAAGCTCTCACAAGCCCTTAGACATGTCCTGTCTCCACAGGACTCACCTTCCTCAACTCAGCCATCAAAAGCAGGAAGCCAGCCAGATGAGCCAAGGAGCCCTTGTGAACGTCACCAGCCAAGGGCAGCCCAGCTGTGGCCCTTTTGAGATGCCTTTGGGTCAGCAACAACTTTTCAGCTTACATTTCCAAGAGATGCAAAAGTCAGGCACTGACAGTGGCTTTCAAACACCCCATTCACTCACCACTTCCACCTGCCCCAAGAAGGGACGTGCCGAGGCCCATACATGTGACTCTTGGGACACAGAGCCATAGGTGTCTTGGCCCTCAGTCTGATGTCTATGGGCTGCACCTGCAACCCTAAAATCAACCAGGATTGAAATGTGCACAGAAAAAAAAAAACCAAAAACCCCAGAACAAAACATTCTATCACAGATTGCTCCAGTTAAAGTCTGGTCCCTCATCAGAGCAGAGAAGACTGGAATCATTCGGGTTGCTTTGTTTGTAAATCTTTTACAATGGGTTTAAAGTGTTTATTAGACAAGGATGGAACTCCCTGTTTATTCTAACCTCTTGTAAACAATGCAAAAGAGAGTGAGAGTTTTGTGTTTTATTTTTTTTTAATTTCATGCTTAATATGCCTTCCAGTTAATAACATAATGTCTTCTGAGTACATTTCGTTATATTTACAGTCACACAATTTTGTTTGGGTTTTTCCCTAGGTGATATAATCAAAGAGAGACTGCTCAGCTGTAGAGGTCTTGATTTCCACACAAGCGATCTAGGATTGATTGCTGCCCAGTGGGAAATATAGTCCACGCCTGTCTGTGACTGGGGGCTCGTATGCTGCTGTGATGCTGAAAGGTTTCCGCAGACCTTCCTGATTAAGACAGGCTGTGAAGAAAGTCAGTGATCACCTTCTAAATTTGGTGTTGTCAGATACTGTTGACTTGGAACTGACTCCTGGCTGACCTTCCAGTGAATTTTCAAAGGCAGTTTAGTCACATGGGAAAAGATTGCCCATCTTTCTTCCATGAAGCAGCAAATAGATTCAGACTACATACCTTTGAGTTGGCGACAAAACTCCTGTTAGCCAGAAAAAACTGTGGGTTGGATCCCATAGTGTCTGAGGTCACCATTAGTCTAGAGTTAACTCAATGGCAGCTAACAATAATGGGATTGTAGAGACTCCATAGAAGGTATGTTACATTCAAAAATACTTCAAAGCAGGGAGCTCTGGTGGCCTAGTGGCGAGAAACTGCGCTGCAACCCTAAAGGCACATGGTTCAAATCCACCAAATGCTCCGGTGGGAAAGGAGGAGCAATCTCCTCCTGTGCCAGTCAGATCTGACTTGACGGTATACAACAAGTGAAAAACAAACAAACAAAAACAACTTCAAAGCATTCTCTGTCTCATCAAAATAAGAATTCTACAAATGTAAAAGACCTATCTAAAAGATTTTTTTCAGTGCTAAGAAAATACAGCCAGTTCTGTCTGCATACAGAGAAATACGGCCACCTCAGTAAACAATGGATAAACTCAGTGCAATTCAACCAGCCCACTGCCTAGTATCATCTTCATAAGAACTTGCTTAAAGATCCTGTTGACTAGTCTTGTATCTTGAAGCCTTTCTGACATAAAGCAAAATGAAACCAGATCAGTGTTCTGTTCTTTAAATAGGGAGTTCCAGTAGCCTCATCCCTAGGGAATTGCGCTACTAGTCCAAAGGCTGCACCTCTCTAGTGGTTCAGATACGCCAGCAGTTCCCATGCGACTTATGGCCTCATAAACTCCATGGAGGGTCAGTGTGGTGTCAAAGCTATGAGTCACTTCTGACTTGACAGCTGTAAGTTGAGTTCTTTAAATGAAGCCTTCCTTGCAGGGATCTCAGAGGCCAGAATGGCCCTGGCATCGCTGGCATGGCCGACCTGCCTAGATGATTGACATCAATCAGCAGTGCTGTCTGCAGAACTGGTATGAGTCGTCCATGTGTTCCTAATCCCTGGGCCTCATCTCGTTATTGTGCTGAACAGGTCCTGAAATTGTCTGGTTTTGAGCTCCTAACGGAGTCCCTGGTGGCATAAATTGTTAAGCACTCAATGACAAACCTAAAGGTTAGTGGTTTGAACTCCCCAGCAGAATTCCCGAAGAAAGATGATCTTCCATTAACACCGCAGCCACAAAAACCCAGTGGAGACGTTTTGCTCTACAACACATGGAGTCCCCATCGGTCGGAATCAACTCAACAGTAATGGTTTTCACAGTACTGGTGAATCTGATAAACGCAATTCCCTTAGAACTGGGTAGCTGACCAGAAGTTTAACTTATACCTTTAGCGTTTGAAAGAGAAGCCTCTCCCAGGAGAAGGTTACATGTTTCACTGCAAAGGAAGGACAGATTAAACACATCCTTGATTAACTCTATCCTGCGAATAAGAGACTAGAAGAGCATCAGAGCTTTTAAGGAACCTTCCAAGAAAGGAGTCAGCTGCTCCTCACCAGAAAAGAGACTCCTCAAAGGACTTTATAAAGTATCAGGAGACAAATGCTGGCGAGGTTGTGGAGAAACTGGAACCCTGATTCACTGTTGGTGGGAGTGTAAAATGGTGCAACCCCTGTGGAAAGCAGTATGGC